TGTCCAGGTGTCCCTGTGATGGACTGTAGACGTGTCCAGGTGTCCCTGTGATGGACTGTAGACCTGTCCAGGTGTCCCCGCCTCTCGCACGCTGCTGTAACTGGGCACCAGTGACCCTGAAAGGAACAAGCAGGTGAAGATGATGGTTGGACTACACAAGCCCCAGAGAGCAGATGTTGGTTATTTACCGGATCTTGTTTTGAATTTGATTAGAACGTCTTTTGTTTGATCAGACTTTTGATGAGTGAGGATTTTGAAAGCTTTCTGTTTCTGTGGATGATTCAGGTGCTGACATTGCAAACGTCTGCAACGAGGCGGCTCTGATTGCTGCCAGACACCTGAGTCCTGCCGTCAACGCCAAGCACTTTGAGCAAGCAATCGACCGGGTCATCGGAGGTCAGTGCGCCATAATGGACTGAGCCAGATCTGAACTGCTCCTGTATATTTATTTATTTATTTACTTTCGGCTGCTTTTACATTGTCTGGCTTGTTTTCAGGTCTGGAAAAGAAGACTCGGGTCCTGCAGCCCACAGAAAAGAAGACCGTAGCGTACCACGAGGCTGGTCATGCTGTTGTTGGTTGGTTCCTGCAACATGCCGATCCTCTGCTCAAGGTACCAAACGTGAACAAAGAGGATTATCCATCCTCCAAGGGTTGGTGTGAGGGACAGTGTGCTGGTGATCCATTGCTCAAACCACAGAGTTCATGGGTTCGGTGGTTTTGCCGTAGTCTCTTTGAGCACTGGCGTTATGCTGGACGTGTGCAGCTGGACAGGACAAACCGCCGTCCATCGTGGCTGAACAAGAGCAACAGCTGCTCATAGTGGATCAACCAGTTGGCTGGTGGCATCCAGAACTAGTTGTGCACATGCAAAAGGAGCACGTTCAGCCTAACAGTTGGTCGTGGGCTCATGGTCCTCCTTTTCCATTCACTGCTTCTGAGATTTGGTGCTTTGTGTGCAGGTGTCGATCATCCCGCGGGGAAAGGGTCTGGGCTTCGCTCAGTACTTGCCCAGGGAGCAGTACCTCTACACCAAAGAGCAGCTGTTTGACAGAATGTGCATGATGTTGGGAGGACGGGTGGCTGAGGAGGTGTTCTTCAGTCGCATCACCACCGGAGCGCAAGATGACCTGAAGAAGGTCACACAGTCTGCCTACGCTCAGGTTAGGGCTAATTCTGTGCATGTCGTGCAGGCGCCTTGTCTTTTCGTGACCCGTCGCTCTGGCCCTGGTTTCAGGTGGTGCAGTTTGGAATGAGTGACAAAGTGGGCCAGATTTCGTTTGACCTGCCTCGACAGGGTGACGTGGTCATGGAGAAGCCGTACAGCGAGGCGACGGCCGAGCTGATCGACGAGGAGGTCCGAAGGCTGGTGGAGCAAGCGTATGAGCGCACCCTGCAGCTCGTCAAAGACAAGAAGGACATGGTGGAGATGGTGAGGCGTCATTGTCTGGAGACTACTCGCTGTGGGAACGCGTCGTTCTTTATTGAACGCTCACTGGGAACCACACAGTCTAACTGGGAACACTTTTCTTGTCTGCGCGGTTGAGAAGCGTTCACTCCGTCGTGATCCGTTTTTCTTCCGTACGTTTTTCAGCATCTTTGTCGTCCCGCACTTATCAAGCTGTTTCAACAAATCATGAATCAAAACGTTCGGCTCTTTCAGGGCTAAGACTTTTGGTGCAACTTTAGCTTTTTGAAATATTTAGCCTTTTCCATCCTTCAGATCTTTAGATGCGTTTACAACCTTTTACTGCTCCTTTCGCTCTTTGTTCTGCTTCAGCTGCTTTCAGCTTCCTGCTGCACATTTTAACTATTTTCAGCTACTTTCAGCTTATTTCAGCTGGTTTTTTTTTTTCAGTTGTTTTCTGCTCCTTTCAGCTTCTTTCTGCTAACTACAACATTTTTGAGCTTCTTCTAACTTTCTTCTGCTAATTTCAGCTATGTATACATGTTTAAACTTTTTCTGCTATTTCAGCTACTATTTAGTTTTTAATGCTAATTTAAGCTTTTTCGGCCAATTCCACTTTTTTTTTTTTTTTTTTTCCTAATTTCAACGTTTTTTAGCTTTATTCAGCAAAAATGTGGTCTCTCCACTTCCTTCTGGTAACTTAAGTTTCTGCCTTTTTAGCTGCTTTTCAGCTGTTTTGCTAATTTCAGCCTTTTTCAGATAATTTACTTTTTGTTCTCATTTCTGCTTCTTTCAGCCTAATTGGACAAATGTGTTCGTTCTGCTTTCTTCTGCTAATTTAAGCTTGTTCTACATTTTCAACTACCTTTTTTAGCTAGTTTCAGCTGTTTTCAGATAAATTCCAGTTTTTCATGTTAATTTCTGCTACTTTCAGCTTAATGGACTTCTTTATGCTAATTTAAGCTTTTTCTGTTCTTTCAGGTACTATTTAGCTCTTTTGATGATAATTTTAGCTTTTTCAGCTAATTCCACTTTTTTTTTTTTTAGCTCATTTCAGTTTGCTTCCTTCACTTCCTTCTGTTAGTTTAAGCTTCTTTCTGCCTTTTCAGCCATTTTTTTCTAATTTAATCTTTTTTTGTTGCTAGTTTTTGTGCTAATTTCTGCTTATTTAAGCATCCATCCGAACCAGACGCTGGCTGTGGAACCTTCTCATTATCTGAGACTCTGAACTTTAGGTGTCCAGTATCCGTGAGCCATAATCATCAACATTACAAGAAACAAAGGCTTGAAATATTTCTGTGTAATGAATCCATATGATTTTCACTTTCTGAAGTGATTGACAGTAAAAATACTTTTTCATGACGTTCTCATTTTTTTAGATGCACCTGTAGTTTGTGAGTTTTCTTGCTGGATTTCCAGGATTCCAGGTTCACTGCTGATCTCATCCTCAGGTGGGAAAACGTCTGCTGGAGAAGGAAGTGCTGGACAAGGCTGACATGGTGGAGATCCTCGGCCAGCGGCCGTTCCTGGAGAAGTCGACGTACGAGGAGTTTGTGGAGGGAACGGGGAGCTTGGAGGAGGATACCAGCCTCCCAGAAGGTCTTAAAGACTGGAACAAGGACAGAGAGGAGGCTGAGGAAACGAGTCCGACTCCAGAGAAAGTGTAGAGCCTGGAACACTCGGACAAAAGACCGATTCAGAAAACGTTCCTGAAGCTGCACACGACGTTTTGAAGCCGAGCAAGCAGCAGCTGGTTGGAATATTCCTGAACTGAGTCAGAGTACACATGAACTGTGGAAACACTGATGCTTCTTTTTATGTGTTTTAATAAAGGAGTCCTCGCTGACGTCTGTCCTGATAACACGGAGGGAAAGATTCTCCTCAGAATTTCTTCTGCTTCCAATATTTTTCTAAACGAACTGATTCAGATTCCTGAAGGAGAAACGTTCACCTGTTCTACTCAAGCGAAGAGCGTTCAGATTGATTTTTTTTTTAATGTTTTGGTGCTGTAAATTGCAGTCGTGTACATTTTGTGTGAAGCAGCTGCTCCAAACCAAAACCTCATTAAAGATCTGCATTTGTCCAAAATATTTTGATCAATTTGAACTAAATTATCGCCTGAAAACTCAGAAACAGATCGAAGCTTTGCGCTGGTCACTGCAGGTGTTCTTATGATGGACCGTCGAACTGCACAGGTAAATGTTCTGTGTTTTGGGCTTATGCACCAAACAGCAGTTACCTGGCAACCTTGGAGCCTCTGGATGGTGTCCTGAAAGGGTCATCTGGGCATTCCCTTGTTCTTCTTGATGAATTGATGAGATAATGGCATGAGTTATCTGGAACGGTGGTTGGGATGAACAGCCTCGTTGCTCTGAACCCAAATGATGTTCTTTTGTTGAACGTTTGAACGGGCAATGTTTAGGGCTTCTATTGAAATGCCTCTTCCAGGACCTGTGGCCTAAAAGTCAGTGGCAGCCAAAGGACTTGCTGGTGAACACCAGCGGTAATGGAGACGTCCAGAGGCCTGTAGAGCTTGGCTGTCATGGAGGCCTCCTGAAGCTGCTGACGGGAACAGTGTCCAGAAGGACTGTGGCTTCTCTGGCTGCAGATACAAAGACTAGGGCATGGGAGGGATTTGAGGAGGCCTTGTGGTCTGATCTAGGCGTGTTGGGTCTGTGCCTTCTGAAGGATCTTGCTTTCTGACAGAAGATTTGAGTTCCAGGCTCTTGGGAAAGGTTCCACTCTGTCTGCGTCGGAGGTTGAATCTCAGGTGGTTCCTGTAGTCCACCCTCTTCCTTGCTGTTTGCTCAAACTAGTTTCTGTCAATCCTGATCCTGAATCCTGGTTCATAATATCCTGATGCATGTTCAATAATCCAGGTAGATAAATGTAACAAGTCAGGTTTGTTGCGGCTCCTCCGACTGAATAAGTCTTTTGGATAAAAGATGGAACGTTTCAAGACGAGTCCATCCAGAGGACCTGACTTAACCTGGTTAGATTTATCTACCTGTATTATTGCTTATGCATCAGGATATTTGAAAAAAGTATATTGTAAAAAATTAATAGAAATATAATAAAACCAAAACAAGTAGTGTTTAGTTAAATTAATTTAATCCAAACTTCTTGCAAAAGAAAAAGCAACACAAAACTGAAACATCTGCTAATGTAAAAAGTACAAAACATAAAATGTGAGACACAAACATCTCAGCGAGCTGAGTGTGAGGCTTGATATCAGGAAAACAGAATATACAAATGCCTGCAACAGTTAGGCCTGTCGCGATAAACAATAAATCAATTAATCGCATGATAAATGAAAATTATCGACCTCGTTTTCATTTATCGTCTTTATCGTTTCTTCGTGTCTCTCACTTTCTACTGAAGACACTGGAGGACAAAAGACTCAACTCTGGTGCTCTTCACTGACCCCTCCCTTTCTCTTTAAAATCTGTTTTAACATCTAAAATCGTGGTTTTGGATCGTTAAAAGCAGCTAAGCTGAGAAGCTAAGCTAACAGGCCGACCTCGGGGAAAAAAACCTCAGTCTTGTCGAAGCTCCAAAATTCACGGTTGAACCCGTGTCTTCGTGTAAAAAGTTGTTTTTCTCTGCAAAAAGAAGCTGAGAACTTGTTTACTGATTTTTTTATTAAAATCTTTGTGTGAAAAATGCTAAAGAGCTCAAAACACACCGAGCGTCCGCCACTTTGAGAACCAAAAAAAAGGAACGAGAGACAGCCCATGTCACGTCAAGGGGCCTCCCTCCCATTTTTCTTAAAGAGACACGCTGTTCACTCCCTCACTATCCATCCTTTGGTTCAAACTGTCTTATACTGCCATCCAGTGGTCAAAGAAGGTACTACACGCAAAACAAATTAAACATTTCTTCTTAAATTTGACAGTAATTACTCATTTTTGTCATAGTTCAAACAATATTATCGTTTATCGCAATAATTTCTGAGACAATCGCCCAACAAAATTTGTTATTGTGACAGGCCTAGCAACAATGTGCTGCTTAAATGATATAACTCCCTGCCACAACTGCAGCTCTCATCTCTGCAGTTGTCGTTAGAGCCGTCATTTCTAACCCGAGCCCTAAGCCCCGCCCCACCCGACCCAAATTCGGGGCGGGCCATGAAAATGTGCTGAATGGGCAGGCCGGGTCGGTGTCTGGCTTTTAATTGGGTCGGAATCAACCGCAATCCAATTATATGATAACATGGCCTGCCATACTTTCACCAGCCGCACGCGACCATTTCACCTGACCGGCCTTGAAAGAGTTAAAAAGTTCAGTTAAGCTTCAGATGGGCTGCACTGCCAGGAATCGATCCATCGCACAAATGGACGTTCATTCAGCCGCTGCGCTCAGCGACGACACAAACGGGTGAGATCGTGTCAGAGCCGGGTCTGTGGATAAATCAGAATGCAGCAGGAACAGGCTTTAAATGCTCCTTTACGGCCATGAAAGGACAAACGCCCCCTCAGCTCTGATCTTCTGCCCCTTAATTCAGCTGCGTGTCTCCGACCGTTAATTAATTAACAATGTGTGGGGGGGGGGTTCTGGGTTCGGACCTGTAATTACTGTTAATTCGTTGGGTTGGGTGGGGTTTGGAAAAGATGACTGGGGCCGGGTCGGCTCGGATTTTTTTGGGCCCGAATGCAACTGAAGTTGTCGTTACTCCTCCTCAGGTGCCTCTGGCGTCCAACATCTAGCTTGGACCAATAGGACTCCCTCTACATCTTAATGGCATCCCTCCCCTGTGTCCACCACTGGATCTCATGGCAGTCATCTTGACAATGGAGACATGGTCCACTCTGAGTTAATGGACTCCGCCTCTGCTGGGATGTGGTTGAAGTTCTCTCAGAGGTGGAGATGAAACTTCTGACAGGCTCATTTACCAACTTCCACTACACGTTTGGGTCTGCTGGGTCTATCCAGCATCTTTTCCCATCATCAGATCCAACTCGTCACCAGGGTTGAGTTAGATCAGATAACTCGGCTCCTTTCTTTACCCGAGTGTCCAGAACATGTGACTGCACATCAGATGACACCACTACCATCGATCTGAAGCCTAAGGTGTCCTGGTGGCATGTGCACTTACGGGACACCCTTATGTTCAAACATGGTGTTTGCTGTGAACAACAATATCCAGAAATCTGAAAACTATGCTCTTTATCTCTGCGAAAAACAGAAACTAATCTCTATCTGCAGAAAATGTGCTCACACACACACAAAAAACATGTTTTAATTAGTGTTTTCTTCAAATCCCTTAATTCCTGCGTCTCTGTTCTCTTGTTTTGGGGATTAGTCCTGGTTTATGTCCAGCAGAGACGGGTCACCACCAACAGCAGATTGGCTGAGAACAAAACGAAGGACAGGCTGGTGGACGATGCTTTGCCACACTCTTTAGCATCCTCCTGGAGAACAAGAGACAAAACAACTCATTGACCCTGAGCAGTGATTCAGTCCTTATCATCCACTGACATGAAAAGCAGGAGCCCGTGTGACTATCCCCGAACGTTTGTCTGTCATTAGCAAAACAAATTGTGTATTTTGACGACCACTAATGAAACTCTCAGGAAAAGGTGCTGGATGTACTTTTACAACTGATTAACTTCTGGTGTCAACGCAGCAGCATGAAACAAATCAGCAGCAACATGAAACAAATCAGCAGCAACATTGAAATAGATCAGCAGCAACATGAAACAGATCAGCAGCAACATGATGTGATTTTTCACAGTGATTATCCTGGTTATAGATTCATGAGTCTAACAGCCTCAGGGTAGAAGCTGTTCCTCAGTCTAGTGGTTCTACACTTAATGCTCCTCAACCTCCTTCCTGAGGGGAGTGGGGCAAAAAGTGTGTGTGCTGGGTGAGTGTGGTCCTTCATGATGCAGGTGGCCCTCTTCCTGATGATGATTCCAGAAGAATGCCACATTGAACTGATCTAACTCAATAATGCCTATAACTTAGTCAATTTTACAGATGATGAGCTAAAATTGGGTGTGGTAGTAGCTCAGACATACCTGAACTACAACTTTACTGCTAACAGCACTCCCTGGTTGCAGTACATAATACAGCCTGGTGCGCACCAGGTAAGTACTAGATGTTTCTGCTACAGCCTGGACCCTGTAAGTCCCTGGTAAATATTTGATAAGTACCAGTTGGAATTCTGTATTGCTATTAAAACTATTGAAGCCCTGAGGAGGATGCAAGGTGGCGGCGGGAGGGGGGAATAACATTTCTTCAAGAAATGTTAATTTTGTTTTGTTTTATTTCATTTTTATTTTCAAAATGCGCAGAGATGTTCTCCATTTCCATTCAGCAACAAACATTTGTTTCCGAGTGCTCTCTGTTCTGGATCTTCACCGTTAACCTCAAATGTTCAGTGACGTGCAATGACCCCACACTGACCTTTGGGTGGTAGGCGTGGCAGGACTCTGGGCGCCGCCGGGCCTTCTGGGACTTCATCCTGTTGCACTTCACAGTGGCGTTATGTACACAGATGTTAAGGATGACAGACTGCTGACAGCTGGGTGAAAGATTGATGATGTCAGAATGGACCAAAGTGAAATCATCCTCTAGGATCAAAGGATCTCTGTCATGTTGTCCTTCTGGACTAGGACTGGACAGCAGGTCCTGAACCGTGGGACTCTGCTGGGACTGTGAGTCCCCCAGATGGTGGTCTGGCTGAACAAGTGAAGGATATATTTGATTTCTTTGGGCTCCAGCAGGATGGGTCCAAACTGACGAGAGCAGTCACAATCCGCTTGGGTCACAACCAAAACCAGGTTAGTGTCAGGGACCTGCTGCACCACGAACATCCTGAAACACAGAGTCACGTGCACTCCGTCTCAGGTGGACCTAAAGCTTGAACATGCAGCTCTTATTATTATGCAGCAGACTGTGACTCGTGATGAATTGTGTACAACTTTTTAAGTTTAGTGTTTGAATATGAACCCTACAAAGTCACCAGCTAGTGGAACCCACAAGATGCTGTGTCTGCAAACTTTAAATAAAGATGTGGATCTTCCATTTGTTTGATGTGCTGTACTCTAACCCTGATTTAGACTGCAACTTTTTACATCATTCACATATTTTACTTTGAAATCTGAGGTCATTGAAGACCTGGTCAGGTTATCGTTCTTATCTTTACTAAACCCATGGGTATAAAAACACCCACCCTCTTCCACCTCTTGTGTTTTACTTATCAGGACATAATGTACGCACACGTTCGACCTGCCGAGAGGACGTGCTTACTGTCATTATAGCATTTTGCTATTTTGTGCTAATGTTTTGTTCCTTTTAGCTAACAACTAGCTTTGTTAGCCTTTTGCTACTTAGCTAGTTTAGCTCTTAGTAGCTATCCTTTTGCTACATTAAGCTTTTAGTTATCCTTTGTTACAGTTAGCTTTAAGCTTCTTTTACATTTTAGTCAGTGTTGTGCTATTTTTAGTTAGTATTTGATTTGTCGTTAACTTTGTGGAGTGGTTTTGTTCACCTAAGTTTAAATGTGAATGTTTTATTTGTTTTAAACCTGGTAAAAATCCATATTGGGTGGATTTGATGTTAAAACCCTGGAAGTGAAATATTGTGGACTTTTTATTCACACGACTTTGTATCCGGCTCCGGCTTGTTTCCAACAAAGAATAGTGACAAGACCATTAATAAAATGAGTCATGTTGCATCAGGGTGCAGTTGGTAGAGCTGCTGCCTCTCAGCGAGTAGGTCGCCGGTTCAAATCCTGGCCGGGGACTTTTCTAGGTGGAGTTTGCATGTTCTCTCCGTGCATGCGTGGGTTTTCTCCACGTACTCCAGTTTCCTCCCACAGACCAAAAACATGCATGTTGGACTGATTGATAACTCTAAATTGTCCCTCGGTGAGAGAGAGTGAATGGTTTTGTCTCGTTTGTGTCTGTGTGTCCCTGTGATGGACTGGAGACATGTCCAGGTGTCCCCCGCCTCTCACACAGTGACTGCTGGACACGAGCACCAGTGATTCCCCTGATCCGAAAAGGAAGAAGCGAGTAAAGATGAAGATGGATGGATGAGGTCTTTGAGCTCATAATTGTTTTAGAAATGATTAAAAGTTTAGCTGTTTGCTTTATGATGAAGGTGATGAGTGGCTCAAATGAAAACGCTGTGTTTGTGTAGGGTGCTGTGTCGCCTCATACTTCTGGCAGCGTCCACACTTGATGAGGCTGTTGGCCTCTCGGATGGAAGGATCGTACATGAAGCCAGGGTACGCAGTGTCACACGGCTGCATCGCCTCCACTTTCTTCTGCCTGTGAGCTGAAACAGACAGAGTGTTCTTCCATTTTGGACGGATCCATGTGGTGCTTTTGTTCTATGTCCTCTTCGTGAACACAGACATGTACTCACACATGTGGTAGCCAGCTTTGGCTGAACGTATGAAGATGACCACGGAGGACACATCAGGGACGTGGCGACGGACAGGTGAGGATGGAGAGGATGCGGTTGTTGATGAGTGGCGGTTGAAAATGAGACAAAGCATTATGAAGACATTATGACTGGACAACCATCTGTTCTGAACTTGTATGAAAACATTTTCTTAACTTGATAAATTCAAGACTTAATAATTTCTGTTAGGGCTCGTGACTGACTGCAGCTCGCAGCTTATCTTTAGCGTGAAAATGATCAGACTGGAGACACGGTGTGATGTCAGGTGTACCAAAGACAAAGACTTTCACGTTTAATGAGATCAGCTGGGGATGTGAGCACAGGTGTGAACACCTGTACCTGTCTTCTTCAAGGAAATAAAAACGCTAATCGTGCAAATAAACACCACAAAATAAGAATATGATGACGCAGATTTTCATTAATCCAAGACATGGCAAATCCCCTCAAATCTGGAAAAACTAAACTGCAGGCGACGTCTATTCTGCAGTTAAACCAGTTGTTTGTTCCATCCGGGAGCTATTTCTATTCAAAACTAGAGAGTGTGGTGTTTCAAACTTTAAACTGTACGAGATGCTTCGTTTATGGAGCAAAACTCACATGCAGATTAATTAACTCCCTTCTCTCGTTAAACCCTGGAACTGAAAGACGTTCACATTTTGGACAGAGAAGATGGATGGTTTGAGTCAGGTGTGAAGGAAGCCGTTTACATCAAACCAAAAAGACAGACTTTGAACAGAGGACGTCTCAGACTTCAGCTTTTTAAAACACACGAGAGGACTGCGCCTGATTCCCAGTCAGCTTTCCTCTAATTCACACCTTTATGCATGTGACCAAAACATCTCTGTGTGAACAAAGAGCCAAATGAGCGTCAGAAAGGAGGAGTGAGATTAATCTGCAGGTGAATTTAGATGCGTAAATCGTGCATTTCATGCGGTTTGTAGCTTCAAACTCTACACTCTCCGGTTCTGAACTGAAAAAGCTCCTCGCTTGGATGTTAAATATTTCCAACTAACTAATACACGTCCAGTTGTTTTTTAATTTTATAGACGAACAGACATGATGATCTTACCATCCACAAAATAATCAGAATGCCAGAGACCACAGAGGTTAAAGTCCAGCAGAAACCTGATGGAAACACAAAGAGCATTAAATAAATACCGCCTGCTGTACTACGGGGAGTTTAACTACCGGTAGTAGT